CCCCATAGTCTACTAGTAGCCCCCCTTTAAACCGCATCCTGCTTGTGGATTTGGCATCAATCTGTAGTCAAGATTCATCCCCCTATACGGTAGGGATAAAGAATTCTAAGTTGGGTTGATCAGTCATTCTCCCCATATTATTTTTACAAAGAGAATAAAAAGCAACTAAACACTTTTGGTTCAAATTGGTCATACCAACTCGAACTATCTAACTGGATTTATCTTTGAGCTAGTCACATCAAGAATGGTTGAACCGTTTGGACTCAGATCGATTCGATCAGACCAAATTGAACCGGTTCAACATATGATGGGTTGACTTGGACTGGTCCATATCGGGTTGTGCATAATGTCGGCACTGAGCCGTTCGATCTAAACCAGGTCAAGGTAGGCAATCCAGACTGGTCTAGTTTTGGGGCAGGTCGGTCTAGCTTATATTGGGTTGTGCAAGGTTTTGGACGGAGTTGGTTGGTTCGAACTAGGGTAAGGTAATTGGGTCATGCTGGTTTGGATTCAGGTTGAATCATACCATTTTGAAATCAAGTCGGGGTCAAACTGATCCGAATTTGGGTTGGGTATTTAAGCCGAAACGGATTGGATTTGACCTAGATAAATCGACCCAAACAGAAAAAACCAAGGTGATCGGGTTTGTTCATATTCAAACCAGATTGAACTTAACCGAACCGATCTAGAATCAAGTCAGGTTGATTTGGATTTATGCTAATTTGGGTGAACTATGTTGATTCGAGTTAGAACTAATTTTAGTTAATAATTAATAGAAAATAAATGCATTAGTTAACTAATTTCACTCAAATGGAGAAAATTAAAGAAAAATGGCTAAAGAATTCACACTTGTACTATTAGTGGTTAGCCCAATGGTTATCCATAACCCAACCCAACCCATTTAAATTGACTCAATGGATGATCAACCCATTTCCAACTCATCAAGTAAATGGGCGGGTTGGGTTGGTTCAACGAGTTGGATGAGAAATTAACCCTCTATATTTAAATTTATGGATAAAAATGAGGGAAAATAGGGTAGTTGGTTATTGATATTAAATGAGTTGAAAAGAGGTAATTTTAATATATTCAATGCATTCAATTCTCTCCCACTAAATCCAACATTTAAGGTATTAATTTGCATTCACCTTCATTGAATCATATATTTAAGGCTTTTTTTTTGTTTTTTCTCATCATTAAATTCTATATATAAATCCATACATAATAAATGAATAGTTTCAATAACATAAAAATTTATACCTATAATATCTACTTGGAAAAAAAAATAGTGTTTTCATCTAGGTGGTGGTAAGAAATTAAACCATTTGGGTCAAATGGCCCAATCCATGTTGACACAATTAAATAATAAAATTAAAAAAAAAACATATAAAATGCAAAAATATAGAAATTAAAAAAAATTGAGAACGTTTTTAACATCATATATTTGACATATTAAACAATAATTAGTATGATAAACAATGTTTTTAAAAACTAACTTGGAGGTCAACCCACTTTTGCCTTCTGGTCACAGGTCACCAATTCAACTATCAAAGTCAAACGAGTCAAACCAATCTTTGCGTCAATAATATATGTGCGTGTTTGTAAAAATAATTATGTTTTACATATATTACATATAATATATGTATTATATATGTGTTATATTTATTTATGTTTTTTAATTCAGATTTTAATTTTTTATTTATAAAAAAATATTAAAATTTCAATTTGGGGCCAAATAGGGGGTTTTTCGTGAAAATAGCAAGGCAAGGCACCTAAGGCCCTTGGGACATATAAATCTTGAAAAGTTACTATAAAAAAAGATAACCCAAATCAGACATCGGAGTGCAAAGTTATGGCTTCTAAAAGTTTGCACATAATTAAGTGTGCAACCTATAACCTAGTTATTGGGTCGAACAGAGCAATGGTTGAACCACCCAAGTTAAATGGGTTTTAACTAAAGGGGGAGTTTCAACAAAACCAAATCCAAGATCAAGGTCGAGTGACGGTCCAAATGGTTCAATAAGCCAGGTCAACAACATGTCATTAATAATAAAATGTTTATTATTAATGATGGAAATGGAAAGTAAAATTTAAAATCAATTGGAAGTAAAATTGTTTTTCTCTCATTAAATTTCATATATAAGGTATATTCTCTTATTAAATCCTATATTTAAGATATATTTTTCTCATTATTAAATTCTACTAATTAAATCCATAACATTAATTTTAATATATAAAAATAAATATTTTGAAAAATAATTTGAAAACAAAACCATTTTCTTCCCTCTTAGTGGTGGGTAAGCAATTCAACCATTTGGGGTTATATGCGTTAATAAATAATACCATAATTAAATAATAAAAGTAAAATAAATAAAATCTATAATACAAAAAAATAAAAAGAATTGAGCACGCTATAGATATTGTATATTTTATATTGAACAAAAATAAGTATGAAATGTAAGAAGTATTTTTATAAATGATGAAAATGGAATGCCAAAATTAAAATAAACCTATAAATGAAATGATGTCATAGTCAAATAAAAATGAAGTATTTAAGTTTATTGTAATTTAAAATTTCTACACGTGCACATATAGTACAAATATTTAAGTTTATTTTTAGTCATATTCTTACTTTTATTAATTTTCAATTTATATCCTAGCTATGATATATCTAAAATTCAAGTAATTAATATGAAAAAAAATCATATGTGCAATGCACATGCTTAATTACTAGTGTATATAAGTTAGATAATAAAATTTTATATATTTCTATGTAATTTTGCTTACAAATTTTGAATTAAAATTGCAATTTTTTAAAAATATTATTTTATTAATTAATATGGGCAAGCCCTAATGCCTAGTCCCATGATCACCTCTAGTGAAAATTAGAAATTCAAGTTGGGTGGGTTTGGCTAATTTTAGCTCAACCTAGGCTCAACCCTAAGAATTGGACTTAAAGTCTGAGGCCAAGCCTGAAGTATCCAACCCAAGCTCAATTCTTACTAAAATTTGATGCATCCAAGTTGGATTCAAGCCCTAGCAGGTTCAAGTTGGTCAATCAGCTTCACACTAATATTTTATATACATGTGTATATGCATGCATCTCTCTCTCTCTCTCTATTTCTCTATCTATCCATCTATCTGTCTATCTATGGTTTGTTAATAAATAATTATGCATGGATAGTTGTATACACACAAATATGTGTCTATATATGCATATACACATGTATATAATTGGGTTGGGCTCGGGCCAAGTTTGGACTATACGAGTTAGGCTTGAACCAAGCTTGAAAAAGCTAGAGGACTGAGAATCCAAGCCTGGCATGTGCAAATTTGTAACCTATGGTCAGCTTGGGCCCAAGGTTGGGCCCACCCAAGTTGCATTCCTAGTGAAAACCTTCCAAAGGGATAAAGCCATTCTTTTTTGGTTAGAGAGAGAGACAATATTTTATAATATATTATCAAAATATTTTTCTATGTAAAATATATTCTTGTATTTTATATATAATCTAGAATATACTATATTATAAAAATATATCATATATAAAATATAAAAATACATTCATTTTTGAGATTCCAAGCCAAACTTGAGCTCATCAAATATTTAATTGAACCGAGCTCAAAACAAAAAAATAGAGTTTTATCAAACTCGAGCTCGATCTCAAATCTACTAATATTTTAGTCATGTTGAGTTAAAACACGCCAAAGTTTGGCTTGGCTTGGCTTGATTAAATCCCTATTCGTAGTGCAACTAGAGGCGTTTGGAAAGTCATTTTTGTATGGTCTTTTGGGCTTTTCAAAGCTTAGAAAACCAACATTTGGTCTTTCTCTATGTGGCAATGAAAGACAAAATGCCAAAAAAGACATATGCCCTAAAAAGCTCATGTAAATCCAAAATGGCCAAAAAATCTTGAAACTTCATATCTTTATGCACCTAAGAACTTTCATATCTTTCTGCACCTAAGAACTTTCATTTGACAGTTTTGTAGATTATGGTGGAATAGGATATTTATCAAATGGTCTTTAAAAGACCCCAAAAATTCATTACATCTTTTGGCCATTTAAGCTACCGGAAGATCTTCCTTAAAAAACTTGCCAAACCACATCTATATTGACTTGAGTTAATATTTTAGACTTAACACAAAAAAAGTTAATATTTAGATTTTAGACAACTTATGTGCTCGGGCCTCCTCCCAAGTAGGGGTGGATTTGAGCCAAATCAAGCCGGGTTGAATAGTACGAGGCTCGAGCTCAGCTTGCCAAGGTAGTACAAGGCTCAAGCTTGATTTGAGCTAGAACCTTGAGCTCGAGCTTGGCTTGAGTGAAAAACTCGTAAACTCGAGCTTGGTTCAACTAGAGCTTGATTTGAAAAAAAAATGTTATATAAAAATATTTCTTATTTGATATTTAAAAATTAAGAATTATAATATTTTTATTATAAATATTATTTTTATAATTTTATTATTATTAAAGTTTGGCTGGATTAATAAACAAGTCTATAAATTAGGCTCGAATTCGATTTAAAGGTCAGTTAAAATCGAACCAAACTGAACTTTTCACGAGCCGAACTCGAATAACTCGTGGCCACTGGCCACCACTCTTCGTCGCTAACAGGCCCCAACACCCCACCCCCACAAGCCCATAGACGACATAGCCCACTCGCGAGTCGCGAGTGTGAAAAGCATTTCTGACGAAGTATTATCCCTAAACCCCACGTCGCCACCAAGATATTATTTTGATCTTGTTCTCGTCCTTTACAAACCCGCACTCGCCCTCCGTTTACGTTTTTTGTTTCTTCGATTTTGATAGTTTTTTGTCTGAGCGACAAGGACCAAAGCCTCACGCTATGAACCTCTCGGCTCTGAGGCTCGATTCAAGCCCTATTTCAGCGCCTCAAAGAAGCTTTAATGGCGGAAGGAACAGAGGCGAGAGATCGGTTCTGTTTCTCCCTTGCGCCTCTGGGACCTCCCGGAAGCTAATACAGTGCTCTGCAAAGGCTGTAGCTTCTTCCTCCCCTCTGGGTGTGGCTGAGCAGACTGGAGACGTTCTGGACCGGATTGGGTCGCTGAGTCAGGTTTCCGGTGTGCTGGGTTGTCAGTGGGGTGACGAAGGCAAAGGGAAACTCGTCGATATCTTGGCCGGGCATTTTGACATCGTCGCTCGCTGTCAGGTATAAATACTCATCTGTTAAAAGTCCTCAAAGGTGTAATTTTTGTGATATAGAATTCTGAATATCCAGTTTCGGCTTTTGATAGTTTTAATATAATGGGCATTTCTTTGTTGTTATTGAAAAAAAGGGCCTTTTTTTCGTAAATTGTATTGAGGTTTCCTTTTGATTTCTATATGACTCCTTTATTTGTGGGCTCGGTAATTTTATGAGGCAAAGTTTCATGCAAGTTGCTTTTATAATACACTCGAGTTCGTTTTTTTTTTTTTTGGATAAGTGAGTTAAGAATCCAATCTAGTCTTTTAAGTATTTTTTATGATGGAGGTATCCAGAATAATTGAATGTCTTGAGGATATAAGTTGTATTGAATGTTGTTGGGTCTGGTCAGATCCTGAACTAAGAGATAGGTAGTTCTCATATAAAGTCGAAACTGGAGATTCAGAATACTAAATGACAATAATTACAATTTCAGAAATTATTAGGTGTTTAGTAGAGTAGATCCACCATCTTTTGACTAGAAATCCTGGTGTATAGCTGCTTGTCAATATATGCTAATCTTTTAGATGCTTTTACATTTGTGATGTTAATACATCTAATACTTTACCTTATCCAGAAAAAAAGGCAGAGAAAAGAATTCATGGTTAAGGGATTTATGATAATTAAATCAGAGGAATTTCAGGATTTTGTGACACTGAAGTAAATAAAGGATGAATTTTGAGTTATGGGTGTTAGGAGGTAATAGCATGAAGACAGGTTGAAGATGGCCGAATGGGTAATCTACAATTGGGTTATAGGGTGTAGTGTTTTTCAGATGCATATGAGGTGTAAATCTTGAGGTGAGACATCACCAAAATGCCTCAAGGTCAAAGGACACTGTTGGAGCTGGGGATTAAAGTCATGGGAAGCATGTTTCTAAACATGGGTCAAAGAGTATTCCTATGCGTCACTTGCCTAATCCCCATTTATTAAGAAGGAAAAGAAATAGAATCCTGAGAGAGGGACGTTTCTGTATACCATGGAGCCATTCTTCTTTTGGCAACAGAACAAAACACTAATATTGTTGGGCAAAACGTTGGGGAAGGGGGGAGGTATAAAAACGAAAATACATATTTGTTATTGTTGTTCTTCTTCTTGTAGCTTTCATTGTCTCAACTGTTCCTTCTTAATTTTAGACAAAGCCTTAACATGCTATGACCCAAACAGAAACATATGGGCCCATAATGATTTTGAGAATGGGACTACCTAAGGTACTTGTTTAGCCCATTGGATTGCTTAGTGGTTTAAAAGGTGTGCTCGCTTAGGCCCAAACACAGCCTCTTTGAAAAGGCTTGCGCTTGGTGCACCTAAGCGTGCACCTGATACACCTTGTGCCTCTCCAGGTGTGCTCCTTGGCTCAGTTTTGCACTTTTTAACGCATAGTGGCTAGGCCTTTGATGATATTCTTATTGTGCTTCTTAATACCAGATATTTTTCAAAAGATAAGAACTACAATTAAAAATACAACACTAATCTTTTTATATACGGATTAAAGTTTGCCTCAAGGGGCTTGGTATTAAGGTGGCTCATAGAATTAAGAATGCAAAATGTTTAACATCACATTTACTTGAAGTAATGCAATTGGGAAAAACAGAGATATTGAAAGTTTCATATTACAGGCTGAAGTCATGGCTTTGATGGAAGGAGTGCAAAGGGCAAGAAGAGTATGGGTATAACAAAGCCAATAATTGAAGGGGATTCCAAATTGGTGATTATATGGTTACAAGATTGGCAGGCAAAGTTGTGGGAGTACAGGAATGGGATAAAGAAATTCAGGTAGTTGACAGATGTGGAAGAAAGACTCCAATAGGTAAAAAGGACAGCTAATAATGTAGTCATTCTTTGGCTAAACAAGGGGTGGGGGAGACCAAATGTTTTGGGCACAATCGTAAGAAATGAAAGGGGAGAAATAAGAGGTTTTATCTCTATCTGCTAATTCATACTGATTTACAGTCTTCTTTAATTAATAAAATTCTTGGTTATCATTTGAGAAAACAAGTTTGACATGCTTGAATTATCAAGTGCTTAAATATGTTTTATATGCTTTGTTTGATTTTATTCCTACATTTGTACTTGGAATGTGTTTTATGTGTTATGCTTATGTATTTTAGTTTGAGTCAATAGGCTTTTTAAAACATTTATATTCTTTCAAAATTTAGGTTTGCATTTTTTAATATATATGTGTATATATATATTAATTTTGCACCTTTCTTCAAAAAGGCACATACCTTGCCTTGCATCTCAAGTGCAAAATCTCCTTGCACTTTTTTTTTGCGCATTGCACTTCTAAAACATTGGCATTACCAAATTTTCACTTTTGCTTTTGGAGAAGGAAAAGTGTTAGTTAAAGTTAAAAATCTAAATGGAATGATAGACATGTTTTATGTTATTCATATATGAATTAAGTAATGGTGAACCTATACAACATTTCGGAAAATAGAAAAATACAAATATGAAAAGTTGCAAGTGTGAAAAACAGTATTAAACAACGAGGAGATAAAGTAAAATAGTTCATAACTTGGCTAGTATAGGAGAGAAGAAGAGAAGAGAAAAGAGAAGAAAACTAGGGATGAAGAGCAAAGAGGTCGAACAAAACTTGACTGCCATCCTCTTTTATTATGATTATAATAAAAAGAAAATTACAACTAATAACAGCCGTCACTTACGTAAATAATAAAGAATAAAACTTATTACAATACGAGTGATGTTAGTGCTCTTAACTTCTTATGAGGTTGTAAATTAAATAAATCATTACCGTCATCTAAGCCTTATTTCTACCATATAGGGTCAGGTACACAAATCCTGTTCTGCCATTCTGTTTTGTTCAGTGCCATATCCATTATTAAATTTTTAGCCCTTAAATCATTACTTACTACTTCAACCCATGTCTTTATTGGTTTGCCCCTAGCTCTTCTAGCCTATTCATTTTGTGAAAGATCACTTTCTTATTGGTGCTGTTAGATGGCTATCCTTGCACATGACCAGTCCATCTCAATCTACTTACCTGTTTTTTATTACCTATTGGAGCCACTCTTAGGTGCCTTTTATAAGTTCTTTTTCTGATCCTTCAACTTGTAAAATAAATAAGTGATATTTTATTTTACTTATTTATTTACTGAAAAATTTACATGTGATGCTTATGCCTCATGCTATGGGCAAGTGTAGCACCTTAGGTCTTCAGCAAAAACACTAATAGGTTATTAAAAGGTAAAGCTAAATTGAGCGGAAGGATTTATAGATGCAATTATGCAAGGTAGGGGTGCTCATGGTTTGGTTGACTGAACCGTGGGCTAATTTTTGAAATGGAACCGGGGTTAAAAACCGAACCGAAGCCAATCAGTTAACTGGTTGACTGATTTGGTTAACCGTCGATTTTTAGTTTTTTATTATTTACAATATTTAGTATAGAAAAATATATAAATATATAATAAAATACTAGAAATATATAATATTATATTTTAAATAATAAATAATATATTATATACTATAAATATATATTTATATATATATAATGCATATTTATTAATTTATAATGTATAGAAAATATAAAATATATAATATAAATATACATATACCGGTCGGTTCAGTTAACTGCAGGTTTTCTATTTTGGTTAACCGAAGTCCGAAACTGATCCGGTACCTTTGGTTTTTTCAACATATTGAACCAAAACCGAACCAACCGGTTTGGTTAACCGAATTTTTGGTTCAGTTTTGGTTGGTTCGGTTTTTCGGTTCCTTTTGCTCACCCCTAATGCAAGGGAGGAAATTAGGTATGTTAGAAAAGAAAATTAAGGGGACTGCAGAAGGGATATGTTTTTTGGGGGGGGGGGGAGGAGGTCAATAGCTCTTAACCAGTGGTTCTTTTGGCTTATAAGAAATGCTGGACCTTGAACTTTATGTGCAAGGAAGTTCAGTCACAACAAAGGGTTCTAGAGAATTAATAGAGCTTCAAGAAATTCAAGAAGTATAATACTTATGATCACCAATAATCTAAAATAACAAAATTTTCCATCCAAATTAATTTAAACTTTAATTTCAGTTATAGTGTTTATGATCTCCAGTGGTGTTACTAATGTGGCGAGGCAATGATAGTTGTTTTGGCCTCCCTAGTCACATGGTACCTAGGAGCTAACTAGTTGACCACAAAGAAGATATGTTCTAAATCTTAAGTATTGATGCTATGCTATGCAAACATGTAACTAGTTGACCACTTTAGCTAACCTGCCAGCCTATTTCATGTCAGTTTTCAGGATGCCTCAAGCAATTGTGAAAAGAATTGAAAAGCTTATGAGGGACTTTCTTTGGGAGCCGAGGGAAGGGAAGAAAGATCATTTGGTGAGATGGGAGAAGGTGATTGAAAAGAAGGAAGAAGGGCGTTTGGGAATTGGTAATGAGTATGAAAAACTTGGCTATCTTGAGTAAGTGGCTTTGGTGGTTTCTTGTGAAAGATGACAGGTTGTGGCATAAAATTGTGTCTAATATTCATGGGCTGTTAAGAAATGGATGGGATGCTGGTTGTTTGCACAGAACTACTCTTATTGCACCATGGAAAGCTATACATGATATCCTTCCCCTATTCCTTAATCATGTGAGGTATGATTTGGCTTCAGGTCATAAGATAAGCCGATAAGGTTTTGGGGAGATGTCTGGGTAGGTGAGTCCCCTTTAAAAGAGGCTTTTCCTTCATTGTTTGTTCTTTCCCATCATAAAGAAAGATCCGTTTCTGAATTTATTCAATCTCATCCTTCACCTTCAGGGCTGAAATGGAACTTGGGCTTCACAGGGAATCTTAGAGAGTCAAAAATCCCCTTAGTTTCAAACTTAATGAGCGTTTTGGATTCTGTAGTCTTTAATGATTGGGGGAGAGATAGCTAAGTCTGGATCCTTTATCTTGATGGGTTGTTTTCTTGTAAATCTTTTTTTAAGTCCCTTGTTGCCACTTCCTCTTCCCCTTCCTTTCCTGTAAA